AGGGAGGAGGAGGGGAAGGGGAGAAGGTAAGAGAAGTGGGAGGGGCAGAGGACAGAAAGGGGAGGAGAAGGGGAAGGGAGGGGGGAGGGGCGGGGGAAGGGGCATAGCGATCTGGAAGGCAAAGGCGCCCCATCTTCCCTTTTCCTTCTCTGCGTCTTCCATGTGAGCGTGTGGCCCAAACACAGGATAGGGCCTTGGGCCGCTGGTGTCTGAGGCAGTATCCCGCATTCGAGGCTGCCCTGCGGTGAGGGGAGAGTGAGCCTCTGTGAACAGCTCACCTTGGCCTCACTTGAGCCTCTCTGAGCTGTGCTCCCCAACTTAATGCTGTGGGACCGGGGGCACCTGCTTGGGAAAGAGCCCTAAGGGCGCCTGGTGTGGTGCTGTCCCAGCTCTGGGGCACTGGAGACACTGGGGTGTTTCCAGTCAGCGCGTGTGGGTCCTCCCCCTCCCCCCCCAGTGCTGGCTTATGTTAAAATTAGTCATGCCTCAGTGTTGATTGGGAAGAAACCAATGCTTAAGACAAGCGCTGTCCAAGCTGTGCCTGGTACAAAAGCATTCCCAGGCGAGATGGGGTGGGGCGAAGCCTGGAGGCCATCCGTCTCTGTCCTCATGTCTGTCTTTGTGCCGCACCCAGAGAAGGGCGGTGGGGGCTGGTCTTGGGATGGTGGGTGCTTTGGTGGGCAGAAGCCCTGGGTCCCGACAGCCAGGCTGGCTGATATTGCTAACTGCTGCCAGGAGAGGGGCACAGGCAGGGGGTACTCACTTCCTGGCGCTGGGGCCCAGCGGGGGTTTCTTGGGCTGGGAAATCCTTGGCCAGCCCAGCTTGGGGCCTGGCACCTGCTATGGCGGTGGCTCTCTTCTGGGCCTGGCCCCAGGCTCTGCTGGCTGTCCTGCTGCCCCAGACTTGGGACCTCGGAGCATGGCCCCAGCTCTAGCATGTAGCCTTCTGACCTCTGACCTATGGCCCAGGAGCACACACCCCTCCATGTCAGGAGAAAGCCCAGGCCGAAGGGGAAGTGCCCCCAGTGGGACAGGACTGCTGTCAGCCTCTCCTCTAAGGACAGGAGGCACCTCCACTCGGGAGGTGGAGGTAGCCAGGTGAGCGTGTGGGAGGAGACTTGAGGAGCAGCAGAGGGGGCGGAGAACTGACCCCATCCCATCCACTGGGGGTGGGGGGTGAGGTGGGGTGGGGTGAGGGGTGGGGGATGCAGCCAGGAGCTGCCTACAGGTCAGCCTGCGCCTGCCTTGTGTCCAGCCCAGCAGGCCCTCAGGCTTGCCTCTTCCTATGTTCCCTTCCTGCACCCTCCAGCCTGGGTGACTGCCACCCCAGGAGCTACGACTGCACGGGCTTCTTGGCTGGCCTTACTGTGGGTGCTGCCCCTCAGGTGTCCTATGACTTGCCAGGCTAGGTTCTCCTGCCCTCCGGCACGTGCCCAGCCGTGCCCTTTCATGCAGCAGAATGCACCTGCCTGGAATGTCCTGAGACTAAGACAAGACAGGAGGTGACAAGCAGGGTGACAGGCGCGGGGCTAGTGCAGGACAGTAACACAGACCTTGACTGCAAGCCCAGCACTGCCATCCACAGGCTGCAGGAACTTGGGCAAGAACCAGGTTCCTTGTGGGCCTGCCGATGAGTCCAGTGCAGGGAGGCTGGGATGCCAGGCAGCAGCGGCAGGCCTTGCAGG